TCCATTCCGTTCGCGGTACATCCAGCTCGGGGTACAGCTGCCCGGTCCCCGCGGCTCCCCAACCCTCCTTCCGCCCGACCCCTCCGGCCAGGTGCGGCCGTCTTCAAACTGTCTCCCTCTGGCCGAGAGCGGAGAGGAAGGCTGCGCGCGGGGGCCAGCGGAGGGGCGGAGGGTGTGCTCTGGGGCAGGGGCGGGGTGGGAGACGGGCGGAGGGAAGGGGGGAAGGCAAAAGGGGCGGAAAAGGATAATCCTCGGCTGGGAGGCAAGTGATGGACCACGCAGGGAGACGTCATGAAAGCCGCAGATTCAGGGAATGCTGCTCGGTTCCGGAGGACTGGCTGAGCCGCGCTTCAGCTCCCGGACCGCCGCGGCCCCGGGGATAGAAGTGAGCGCAGCGCCGCGCGCCGAAGGAAAGCGGCCGTGCAGCCCGCTCCAGAGGGGCTGCGGGCGGGGGCGCGGGGGCGCCGGGGACGCCCCCCGCCGGGTGGATCAGGCTGGTGGGGCGGAGGGCCCTGCCCTTGACCCCGTCCCGCACCCAAAGGAAGCCGGAAACGTGGGGCGCTCCATGCTGTGGAGACCTTTTGGGTTTAGCCTCCCGGTCCCCACCTTTCCTTCTTCGTCACTAAGTTAAGTTATTCCCGGAGAAAAACCTGGAAAGCAGGAAAAAGCCGAAGCTCTGGAATCAGTTTTTGTCTGCTGGATGGAGGAGCCGGCTCCGTCTTCAGGGTTTTGTGAGACCAGGAGAAAGAGGTCTTGTCACTGTCTCCCTCTGGGCTGAGACCAAGGAGAGTGACGCCCGGCGAGCGGCAGGGACCTGGAGCGCTCACTGTCCATGTGGCCAGACGACGGCAAGCGGCCGGTGGGAGTGGAGGCGCCGCGCCCCAAGGCTTTGCTTGCACCCCGCGGTGGCCCAGCCCCCTGCTCCATTCGGTCCGTCCTGCAACTGGGACCCGATCCCACTGCCTCTCCACCCATGTCCCCGCCCTGATGTCCCTGTTCAGGGGCACTGGAGACGAAGAAAGGGACTATGGCGTTTTTCATATGTAATTCGGGTTACCTTCAAAGTTGACTTTGTCAGGGTTTGGACAGCCGCCTACCTAAAATCCTGTCCTATGATTTTAAACTTGCTTAGCCTGTTATTCCAGGGAGCATCTCACAGTGCTCCCCCTGCATGCTCCCATTTACTTTCTTTTTTTTTAATTTTGGTATCATTAATGTACACTTACATAAGCAACATTGTGGTTACTAGATTCCCCCATTATCAAGTCCCCACCACATATGCCATTACAGTCACCGTCCATCAGCGTTGTAAGATGCTATAGAGTCACTACTTGTCTTCTCTGTGATATACTACCTTCCCCATGCCCCACCCCTTACATTATGTGTGCTAATTGTAATGCCCGCTTTTCCCCCTTATCCCTCCCTTCCCACCCATCCTCCCTGGTCCCTTTCCCTTTGCTAACTGTTAGTTCATTCTTGGGTTCTGTGAGACTGCTGCTGTTTTGTTCCTTCAGTTTTTTCTTTGTTCTTATGCTCCACAGATGAGTGAAATCATTTGATACTTGACTTTCTCCACCTGGCTTATTTCACTGAGCATCATACTCTCTAACTCCATGTTGTTGCAAATGGTAGGATTTGTTTTCTTCTGATGGCTGAATAATATTCCATTGTGTATATGTACTACCTCTTCTTTATCCATTCATCTACTGATGGACACTTAGGTTGCTTCCAATTCTTGGCTATTGTAAATAGTGCTGCAGTAAACAAAGGGTGCATATGTCTTTTTGAAACTGGGCTCCTGCATTCTTAGGGTAAATTCCTAGACGTGGAATTCCTGGGTCAAATGGTATTTCTATTTTTAGTTTTTTGAGGAACCTCCATACTGCTTTCCACAATGCTTGAACTAATTTACATTCCCACCAACAGTGCAGGAGGGTTCCCCTTTCTCCACATCCTTGCCAGCATTTGTTGTTTGTCTTTTGGATGGTGCATGCCCCCATTTTCTTATGATCATCACACACAATATTTCCATATTTCCCAAGTGTTTCCACAACTTGCTTTTACCTCTGTACAGTCCATTCTTTTTTTCTCTCTGAATCTTTTATTTATTTATTTATTTAGTTTTATTTTGGTATCATTAATCTACAGTTACATGAAGAACATTATGTTTACTAGGCTCCCCCCTTCACCAAGTCCCCCCCCCCGCCACATACCCCTTCACAGTCACTGTCAATCTGCGTAATAAGATGCTGTAAAATCATTACTTGTCTTCTCTGTGTTGCACAGCCCTCCCGGTGCCCCCCTACATTATACATGCTAATCATAATGCCCTCTTTCTTTTCCCCCACCCTTATCCCTCCCTTCCCACCCCTCCTGCCCAGTCCTTTTCCCTTTGGTAACTGTTAGTCCATTCTTGGGTTCTGTGATTCTGCTGCTGTTTTGTTCCTTCAGTTTTCCTTTGTTCTTATACTCCACATATGAGTGAAATCATTTGGTACTTGTCTTTCTCCGCCTGGCTTATTTCACTGAGCATAATACCCTCTAGTTCCATGCATGTTGTTGCAAATGGTAGGATCTGTTTTTTCCTTATGGCTGAGTAATATTCCATTGTATATATCTACCACCTCTTCTTTATTCATTCATCTACTGATGGACATGTAGGTTGCTTCCATTTCTTGGTTATTGTAAATAGTGCTGCAATAAACATAGGGGTGCATATGTCTATTTGAAACTGAGCTCCTGCATTCTTAGGGTAAATTTCTAGATGTGGAATTCTTGGGTCAAATGGTATTTCTATTTTGAGCATTCTGAAGAACCTCCATACTGCTTTCCACAATGGTTGAACTAGTTTACATTCCCACCAACAGTGCAGGAGGGTTCCCCTTTCTCCACATCCTCGCCAACATTTGTTGTTTATCTTTTGGATGGTGCATGCCCCCATTTTCTTATGATCATCACACACAGTATTTCCATATTTCCAAAGTGTTTCCACAACTTGCTTCGACCTCTGTACAGTCCATTCTTATAAGCCATCTTTTCTCTAGGCATAAATGGATTGACAATTAAATTTAAAGAGCAGCAAATACCTTGATAAATAATTTTGTAAAAGTCCTTTCATAACTGGCTATTCTTGTGCCACTTTATCAATGTGGCTTTCCTTCCACAAAACAGAATCTCTGTCTCCAAGAAGGTGACCTTACTCCAGAGAAAGGACTTACTGAGATCTCTTATTTTCAAGATTATTTTATTTTATATTCATACATGCTAATTACACAGCAATGCACCCCCTTAGATTACTGTCTGATTTCTAAAGATGACTTTGGTATGGAGAGGTGTTTGCCTTAATTGGCATCATCATTTATATACGAATCAACCACGCATACAGCCTGTGAGCTCGTATTTGTAGCTGATTTTCCTTGGGAGGCTGTAATCTCACATGCTTTTACTTCTGAGTCACATATTTCATGTACAGAAGATATTGGTATGTATAATATGTGATTTTCATGCTCCATAGTGCTTACTGGATCTATAACTGTCAGAGATAAAGATAAACAAAGAATAACTGGACTCAACAATTCCTGAAGGACTGTGGAGTAAGAATGCAAAATGCAGGATTTTGGTGGAAACAGCCCCATAACATTAAAAGAACAACTCACACTGACTGTAGTTGTCCAAAAGAGCATTCTATTTAATCTGTGAAGCTGTTTGAGTATGCCCATTGATTTTGATTATATATGTTTCCACCAGAAGAAGGATTTCACAAAGTTTCTTCCTTACAAGATGCGAGACTAATTATGTCAAGAGAGGCTGATAACCTACTTGTCTCCTTTGAACTTTTCAAAAACTCCCCTACCTTGAAACACTGGCCAGCATGATATGGTCTGCAGCTCTTTGTGAGTGGTATAGGAGCTGGTGTTGAGTGAGATGGATAATATTAGTGTGGTATTGGATTTGAGTAACATCGGAGACAAGATAATTGGTTTAACTGAGGTAATTTGTTCTTCAGTGACCGGAGAGCTCAGTGATTGGCATGGATGCTGCTGAGAGAAGCCTTGTTGACATCTGGAACTCAGGCAGGCTGGGCTTTGGCACTGTGTGCTCTAGCTCCTTTGAGCCTAAGAAGCCTGTCTCTTGGGCCACCCTGTGTTTAGCATATCTGGAACCTCACTTATATATGCATTTTATGATTTCAGATTAAGGCAAGGCCCTCATGAAGGGGTAAGGGGTGCTTCTAAGCCTTAGGTCTTTCCAGCTCTGGCTAGGTCAGTACTGCAAAACTGATGAATATGGTGGCTTCTCGGATTGATCAGTTCCTCTATACAGATGGGGCTGGATGCTCCCCCACATGCCAAATGGTAATGGAGGCTTATTCGCTAACAAAATGGACAAACTGAATTATCTCCACTGGGTGTCATGTTTCTCCATCATTGAGTGTGGCAGTTTACAACCCAGTCTTTCTCCCTCACCCACATGTAGAACCAACTCTGCTTTGGACAGATTGACACTAGAACTGTCATGGCAGGTGATTTCTGTTCTCCATCTTGTCCTGTCTTGTTTTATTTCTGTCTATTTGTTTTATATTTAAGCCCTCACTTCTTTCATTTCACTTCCTCACCTACTTCTTTCCACAAGGGGAAAAAACCACAACACAAACAAATCTTCAAAGTGCAAAGATGGTTGTACTATTTTTATATAATTTATTTTAACTATAAAAGGACATCTTAAAGAGTAGCAAGAAAGAGACATTTTAAAGTTATTCTATTCTATGACTACTTCAATGGACTAGATGGATTTCATCAATGTTTCCTATATAGGTAAAGAGTTATTGTATTTCCTTTTTGGATTTTGATTATAAATTTGGAGATGGACTATTAAAAAATAATCTCCAGATATAAGAAATTAGGTACTTTTCTAAGATGGGAGTTTTAGATGGTTTTTAGCTCTGTAGCAGATATGCATGTTAGTGCTGAACCTTACATTTTTATTCTCCAATTATTCAGGTATTTCTTCTCTTTTTGGGACACACATTCATCTCCTACACATTTACTTTACTTTGGAATTCCATCCACTATTCCTACTACTCTTCAATTGTAAGTGCTTGTAAACATTTTGAAATTATTCATTTTTGTTTGTGTTGCATGACTTGATAAACGAGTGTAATCTGAAGACTCATTTGATAAAGTCTTTCTTACAGAGTGTTTTATTAGTTCATCATTTAGTAGGTATCATGCTTTTTAATCACAGTTTCCCCCAAGGAATTTATTAAAGTGCAATTTTAAAAAGTCATAATAGCTTCAAATATAATATTTCAAAAGACCACAGGAGGTGAGGATTACAAACAATTGTATAAATTAGTCTTCCTGTAATTCTTACTGTAAATAATTCTAGTTAACATAAAATCTGCACAACAGAAACACTGAAGGCCAAAATAAAGGATATGAATTTGTAAGATGCTTTCTGTGGTTAACCATTTGCCAAAATGCCCAAATTCTTTTTTTTTCTTTTTTTAATCGACTCTTAGCAAAGAGGGTATGAGTTGCAGAGAATGAGATAAAGTTCTCTTTTTGTATGCGGTTGCAACTTCCTGTGGATCATTTCCTACAGTCACCCCAGACACCAAGCAATCATTAACAGAATGGGTCTTGTTTGCTTTTGTTAAGGGTGGAACTACAGCCCAGCATCCTCAGGTTTCCATGGGTCTCCCACCTTCTTCCCTAGAGATACAGCTCAGAGTCCAGTTCCAAATGCCAGATCAGCTTTTGTGGTCTTATGGAAAATTTACATATTTAAACAGTCTTGGCCCCAGTGTCCATGCCTAGTGGTGGGTTTAGCCAGGGGTCTCCTGCTTTATCATTTCATCTGTAAAGTGGTTTGTAAGTGGGTTCTTTGGCAATCAGACTCTGAAACGGAGTTTAGTAGGCTGGATGTTTACTGGGGACATTTCTAAGGCTCTTATGTCTGTGGGACTAACACCTGTGGGTGGGAAGGAAAGGAAGTGTGAGTGGGCAGAGGGAGAAGCAAGCTGACACTAGCCTTGGAAGATCCTACAGGGATCTCTGTAGCTCCAATGGACCAGTAGACTTATTCGATATTGTGCTGAAACAGCCCCGGCTAATCAGCTCCTGGATGTGAGCCATCCCGGGAAAGCAGTGACTGGGCAAGGGGACTTCTTATATCTGAAAGCTGTCTACCAAAGCCTTCTTGCAGATTGGCCAATACATCCTTTCTTGAAGGTGGATGTTGGTGTCACATCTGTTTTTACCGCAAGTGGGGATGATAGCATTACCTACTCCATAGAGTTCCTGTGACTATTTTATGACATCATTCATGTAAAAAGTAGAGTCCTGGATCTGACATAGAGTAACTGCTTAATAAATGTCAGTTATTTATCAATGATTTTGCTTGTCATTTTTATGATTAAGCAAACTCTGGATTTTCAAGGAACTCCAGATTTACATCCACCCAGTTTCAAGTCACCCTATGAGTAACAGTAAAATACTGAGAATGCTTCTTTTTGTCTCTGATTAGTTAATGAACCCATACCTGTACCAATTACTCTGTCTGGGAGAGTGCTATCCTAGCTGTGATCTGTTGGCACCCAGCATCTATTTTCACCCACTTCTGGTATCCTGATTTGTGAAAAGGGCACATAAGTAATGTTCAGAAAGGGATTTATATCAAACTGGAAGTCAAAACACCCACTTTGTAGCACTTCCTGGAGTAGGAGGAACCCAAGGCTCCAGCATCAACTGCTTCTCCTTAAAAAGGGGGTCTAGAGAAGGGAAGAAGTCTGGAGAATAGCAAATGTTCAGTAAATGTCATGTAACTCCCTAACTGTAATGCAAGGAATTTGTGTTCTCTCTGTCTTTGGGGAAAACAGATGCAGTAAGGATTATCTTTTTGTAGGCTCTTAGGAGACTTCAGTAACACAGACAGTGGGTTCAGTTTCCCTTGCTATAGCAATTCTCAACACTCAGTAATTTATTTAGGTAGCTCTTTCCTCCTATTTTCTCTTTATTTAGAACTAAAGTGGAAGAAATGGAGTATAGAGTCAATAAAAATTCCAGAGAGTCCACAAGGAAAACAAACAAAATGCCCAAATTCTTTTTTTTTCTTTTTTTAATCGACTCTTAGCAAAGAGGGTATGAGTTGCAGAGAATGAGATAAAGTTCTCTTTTTGTATGCGGTTGCAACTTCCTGTGGATCATTTCCTACAGTCACCCCAGACACCAAGCAATCATTAACAGAATGGGTCTTGTTTGCTTTTGTTAAGGGTGGAACTACAGCCCAGCATCCTCAGGTTTCCATGGGTCTCCCACCTTCTTCCCTAGAGATACAGCTCAGAGTCCAGTTCCAAATGCCAGATCAGCTTTTGTGGTCTTATGGAAAATTTACATATTTAAACAGTCTTGGCCCCAGTGTCCATGCCTAGTGGTGGGTTTAGCCAGGGGTCTCCTGCTTTATCATTTCATCTGTAAAGTGGTTTGTAAGTGGGTTCTTTGGCAATCAGACTCTGAAACGGAGTTTAGTAGGCTGGATGTTTACTGGGGACATTTCTAAGGCTCTTATGTCTGTGGGACTAACACCTGTGGGTGGGAAGGAAAGGAAGTGTGAGTGGGCAGAGGGAGAAGCAAGCTGACACTAGCCTTGGAAGATCCTACAGGGATCTCTGTAGCTCCAATGGACCAGTAGACTTATTCGATATTGTGCTGAAACAGCCCCGGCTAATCAGCTCCTGGATGTGAGCCATCCCGGGAAAGCAGTGACTGGGCAAGGGGACTTCTTATATCTGAAAGCTGTCTACCAAAGCCTTCTTGCAGCTGGGCCAATACATCCTTTCTTGAAGGTGGATGTTGGTGTCACATCTGTTTTTACCGCAAGTGGGGATGATAGCATTACCTACTCCATAGAGTTCCTGTGACTATTTTATGACATCATTCATGTAAAAAGTAGAGTCCTGGATCTGACATAGAATAACTGCTTAATAAATGTCAGTTATTTATCAATGATTTTGCTTGTCATTTTTATGATTAAGCAAACTCATGATTTTCAAGGAACTCCAGATTTACATCCACCCAGTTTCAAGTCACCCTATGAGTAACAGTAAAATACTGAGAATGCTTCTTTTTGTCTCTGATTAGTTAATGAACCCATACCTGTACCAATTACTCTGTCTGGGAGAGTGCTATCCTAGCTGTGATCTGTTGGCACCCAGCATCTATTTTCACCCACTTCTGGTATCCTGATTTGTGAAAAGGGCACATAAGTAATGTTCAGAAAGGGATTTATATCAAACTGGAAGTCAAAACACCCACTTTGTAGCACTTCCTGGAGTAGGAGGAACCCAAGGCTCCAGCATCAACTGCTTCTCCTTAAAAAGGGGGTCTAGAGAAGGGAAGAAGTCTGGAGAATAGCAAATGTTCAGTAAATGTCATGTAACTCCCTAACTGTAATGCAAGGAATTTGTGTTCTCTCTGTCTTTGGGGAAAACAGATGCAGTAAGGATTATCTTTTTGTAGGCTCTTAGGAGATTTCAGTAACACAGACAGTGGGTTCAGTTTCCCTTGCTATAGCAATTCTCAACACTCAGTAATTTATTTAGGTAGCTCTTTCCTCCTATTTTCTCTTTATTTAGAACTAAAGTGGAAGAAATGGAGTATAGAGTCAATAAAAATTCCAGAGAGTCCACAAGGAAAACAAACATGCCAGCCTGGAAAGTATAGGGATGCAGCGATTTAACACTGGGATCCGTGACATTGATTGCTGGTGGTGGACAAAGCACAGATCTTGCTTGCAGCTTCAAGTCTCCCAGTTCCTGCCACCACTTGTATTTATCTGCTGACTCAAGGCCCTCCTGGCAGTAGGCGGGAGAACGCTGGTAAACATGACAATATGAAGGTGATAGAACGGCCAGACATAGAATGTTGAAGTTGCCTCAGAGATCACCTGGTTCCTTTCCAATTTTCATCACCCTTTCTCTGATCCAGTTAAAATCCTCCAGGCTGACTTTTCCACCTAAATGTCTTGATTCATTTCCACTTCCCAGCGCTTAGACCTTCTGACTCTTTTTGACCTCATCAAAGCCTTGAACACCAATCCTCAGATCTTTGGTTTATTTCTTACCTTGAATTGCCCCCTGAATAATTTGCCCTCTCTTTGAAGCTGTAGGTTCTCAACTTTGACCCCTATTGACTTGTTCTTTGTCGAGTTCAATTTTGTCTCATTCATTCAACTTATCATTTATAGCACCATAAACATGAAAGGCATAAACTTATTTCCCATAGTTATGTTATCCTTTTCAAACAAATATAATTCCAGAAAGACATGTGATAAAAGATAACAAGGTAACAGGATGGACTGTTGCCAGATGTTTCATGGGGTGACAAGATAATAATAGAGTCTTTAGAAATTTAAATAATCTTGGGCAAATTACTTAACTTTTTAGGCCCTCTAAAATAGGAATAATAATAGCTCCCTGTGTTAGTTTTGCCCATCAAAACTACCATAGTTGATGCCTACCAAATTACCACAAACTTAGTAGCTTTAAAATATACCCATTTATTAGCATACGGTTCTGTAGGTCAAAAGTCTAGCTGGATGTCGATGGGTTCTCTGCTTAGGATATCATAATGCTGACATCAAGGTGTCAGCCAGGCTAAGCTCTTGTCTGGAGGCTTTGGGGAAAAATCCATTTCCAAGTTTATTCTTGCTGTTACCAGAATTCACTTTCTTGGAGTTGTAAGACTAAGGTATCGATCTCCTTATTGGCTGGTAGTGAGATGCTGCCCTTTGCTCCTGGATTCCTTGGCACATGGCCACTCTATCTTCAAGCCAGCAAGGGCACATAGAATTCTTCTCGTGTTTCAATTCTCTGACTTCTTCTTCTACCAGCAGAGAAAACCCTGGAAGGTCAGTGTGATTAGATCATGTCCACCTAGATTATCTCTCTATTTTAAGGTCAACTGATTTGTGAACTTAATTATGCTTGAAACATCCCTTTATGGCAGCACTTAGGTTACTGTTTGATTAAGTGACTTGGAGAAGGTGTGTGTTATACCAGGCATTGGAAAACTTGGGGACCCTTTTAGAATTTTACCTACCACACATCTACTTCATAGAATTTTAATTAAATGTGATAATATGTGGGTAAGCAATATGTCAAAAATGAAGTTTTAATGGAAACACCAAGAGACACACATGGCTTTGCTGATCTGCTGATTCCCTTCATGGGCATGGAGCAGCAGGTTGATAACTGATCTGTGATTGGTCTATAATTGATCTACCTTTCCCTGCCTGCCCCTCCAGCTTCTCTGACTTCTGGGTCTAGCATATGTATTTTTAGCTCTGTCATGAAGGACTCCTGTAGGACACCCTTGTCACCAAGGCTAAAGGCAACAAGAACTGATAAGAAGTTCCATTCATCCATGTGGGGCTCAGCCTATGCTTGGGGGTTCCAGCCTGTGTGTACCAAATTATGTCACTGCTAGAGTCACCACATCTCCAGCCCATCCTAAAGGCTAAGGTTATAGTAGTGGATGACTTATTCTATCCCCATCTCACCCTCTGTTAGCATATCAACAGGATGGACTTCATTACCTGGACAGGTAACTCCAACCTTTACTGGTTAGAATGGGAGACCTCGGCGGTATTATCATTCTTAGTGCCATGGTTTTCCATGATTATTGATCAAGGGAGTAATAAGAGGTGCCCCAGTGAATTCCCAGATTCAAAAATAGGACTCCTTGCCCATACTATGGTGTGGCAACTCAATTTATCTCTGGTAATAAGGATTGATCACAAAGTTCTGGGACTCCTTTTCTGTCTGTTGGTTTAGTAGCATAAAAAGTCCCAAAGGTTCAGGGTACAATCTCAGCTTCCAATACATCAGAACCATTATTATATTTCTTGGTAGATGCCTTTATCTCTTGGATACTAGGACCTTCAAATCCATCAAGCCAAGGCAGTAGGGATGAGAAACAAGTATTACTTGGTAAAATAGTGATGGGGCCAATTCCCCAATCACCCCACTGTTTTTTTGTTATGTGTTTCCTATATTCTGGCTATGGCGCTAGCTTGAATGGAGCTTGGAGTGAATCCCAATCACTCTATAGGAAGCTCACATTATTTTTTAAAGGGTTTTTCCAATCTGAACTAAAAGAGACAGAGTCAATTCAAGATGCAAAGAGGCTCTGGATTCCTCAAATTTCTGTGGGCAGGAAACAGGTTGAGAGAGCTACTCATGTGCAAACATGAGACATTTCTTATGGGTAAAAAGGACCTGAAAGGGCAAAGCGAAGACCTGCAGTGAGGGTCCAAGAGCCAAGAAAAATTACCAGGGAGCAGAGCTAGACTTTAATCAAGGAACATTTTCTGCTTCTAGGAGGTCTTGACAACATATGTCTGGATGTGTTTAGAATCTATGGGCCAATGACTGGTAGATGCTTCTCCTTACTTCATTTTTGAATGGGAGTACTAATTGAGAACAACCTGTTCTTGTCTCACCATTGTATGTCAGGTGTATGGGGGCAGATAACTCGACTTTTTTTTGTTCATGGGTTTCTAGATTAAGAGTTGATGGTCCCAAGGAACCTAGTCTACCTCTGAATTGATAAAGGGATCATAGGCCTCTAGCCTGATGACATGATTGGGTGAGACTTCAGCAGTCTTGGGGAGGGGTAAATATATTTTGGATATATGGGAAATATATGGATCATTGAGTTAGAGGGGGTGGGGCTGTGGTAGACTGACCATATGGAATTCCCCATGAAGCCATGGGTGTGGGCTGATGGAGAAGAGGTGTGGAGTGATGTTAACTATCATAGCAGTCATGGCCATTTGCTTGGGCTTTCTAGATCTGACAGGACCCATCTTTTACATACACATGGTGCACTGTTACACCAATATTCCCCAGAGAATCACACCATGCCCATATGAGCCAGGCAAAACCAGCAGAAAAGCACAGCAATGGTTAGTTCATACAGTCCACTTTCATTTACAGTGGAGTGCTATTAACATCCAACTTTGGATTACCCAGTGTATCAAATAACACCCAGTTAATGAGGAGTAGTTTGAGAGGCATGGTCAGCATCTGTTCTGTAATTCTCCTAGAGGAACTTTCCTGAGCCTCCATCTTCTTCCCTGTAGCCTTCCTTCCTCAGAGAACCTGACCTCTAACTACTGCTTCAAGGGGCTCTGGGTCTGGAGCTTAGATCTAGGAACTAGGCCAGAGGCTGTGAATCCCCACAAAGGCAACTTGGGTTAGCATGAGACCCGCCCTCCAGATTAGAATTTTTCTGAAATTATAGGCAGAGCAGGACCCTTAGGAGGAAGCATCCCTAGGGAATCCCATCACCAATCAGATCCCTGCAGGTCAAGCACTGACCCTACTCCTTTCCTGAGGTTTATAATGGAATGAAGTTCAGGTTATGACTTCCAAAGCACTATTATCTCAATGTAGTATATGAATTATTTGTTTTATTTTGGATTTGTTATTATTAAGGGATTCTGGAAACTCTAAATACCTGACTATCTCAGTATGAACAGAAGGAATCCTGGAAGAATCAATTCTTAATTATGAAGTGACTAACTCAGTAGAGAGAGAAAGAGTTACAAACACCAGGAGCCCCTAGGTTCTGAATTCTATTACAGCAACATTGGAAATGCAGAAGGTTTGGGGGATGTTGGATTCATGCAGCTACAGAAGCAGTTACACCTTTTCTCATAGAAGGGCAGACTTCAAAATTTGTTTATTTATTTGTATGTTTACTTATTTTTGTTTTGTTAGACTTTATGCCTGGGAATGGAGAGGAATAGGATACATATCCTGCTTCTTTTCTATGACCACATTTCTGAAATCAGAGTGGGATACCAACGGGTACTCAGGCCATAATTACTAACTAATACATTCAGACAAGTGAGAATACCTCATAATGATGGAAATAATTTTGGAGCCTATTTATTTGAAGGAAAGTGAGAAGGAAAAAGAAACCAGCCTTTTGGCTGTTTATAAGCCAAATAAAATGTGAAGTAAATTGTTAGAGTGTAGCACTGTAGATACAGGCTCACATCATTAAATGACTTGCTCATTGCTAGCTTGCAAGGATCCAGAAACCAGCACTAAGTCAAGTGTGCCTTTTTGCAGTGATACCACAGCTGAAGTCTTCAGACTCCAGACTGTCATTGTCACAGGGCCACAGATTCTGACTGTCCAGCTCCTGGAGGAAGCATAAAGTTATCTTTCTATATTGTTATTTCTCTTCTGATTTATGCCTTTTTCTTTTAAACACTGACTTCACAGCTGGGGTTGTAAGATTTGATTTGAAACAGTGTTAGGCATAAAATCCATAGAAATGGGAAGGTCTAGCTTATATTTCCTTTTCCTTGAAATGAAACAAATCACACTCTTTATGTATAATGATAAATTCTGTGAAAACAGCAAAGGACCTAGAGCTATTAATTTGTCTTTTGAAATATTTATGGTGTTTTAGGATGAAAAAGTATATTTGGATATATATTTTTTTAAGCAGCTCTGTTTTCCAGGTGATTAAAAAAAGCAACACAGTTAAGCATACATACACACACACACACACACACACACACACACACACACACACACAGATGTATCAGAAAATTCTCCACCCTTCTCAAGCAATTGACTGCAATCTATCAAGCAATTCAGGTGGAATTTAGGGGCTGTTGAAATGTTCTATTTTTTAACTGAAATAAGTCATACGTTTTCCTTTCCTCAGATTATGACCATGGAGAACCAAGGTCTCTGGATAAGAAGATGAAGCCTTTATTAGAAAGGTCCCTTTCAGAGGGTCTTTTGCGGGACCATTCTCACCATGCAAAACTCTGGATGAAAATCAACTAAGTAACTTCAGAAAAGGGAATCTTTCAGGTTGCTGGAGAGTTTCCTTCCTCATTGTATAAATAACATTACCCCTGCGAATATATGTTTGTTGCAGAAAGGTAGGTGTGCATGTGTGTGTGTGTGTGTGTGTGTGTGTGTGTGTTTGCAGCTGGTGGGGAAAAGGCTGCACTCATGGCACTGTCTTTCCCAACTAATACTCACCTGTGAAAAAATAAACCTTGACCTGTATCTCGTACCAAACACAAAAATTAATTCAAATGGATAACAGACTTAAATGTGTAATCCAAAATGATCAAGCTTCTGTAAGAAGATATAGAAGAAAATGTTTGTGACTTTGGATTGGATAAAAAAATGAAATATTATGCCAAAAATCATGATACATTAAAGAGAATATTGATACATTTGAATCATTAAAATTAAAATCCTTTAAATAAATCCATTTCAAAGACACAGTAAACAAAATGAAAAGACAAAACCTAGACTGGGAAAAATTCTTGCAATATATATGTATATATACATATACAATAAAAATCTGTATCCAAAATATGTCAGAAAATCCAGGACTAATAATAAGAGAACAAGAAATCTTTTGTTTTTTTTAAAAGGGCAAGTTTAGATAGAGACTTCACCAAAGAAGACACATGATATTAAACTCACATAAAAAGGTACTCACATAATTCACTAGTCATTAGGTAAGTGCAAATGAAAACTGCAATGAGATGTATGTGTAAATCTATTTTAAAAAACTGACAAAACCAAGTCGAGAAATCAGAAGACTCATACATTTCTGTAGTTATGCAAAAGATATAACCACTTTGGAAACCAATTTGGTCATTTTAATATGGTTAAACATAATTTTACCTTTAGGCCCAGTAATCACACTAGTAGTATTTACCCAAAGAAATGAAAACTTATATTCATACAGGAATCTGTATGTGCATACCTAAAGCAGCTTTACTTGTAAGACCCCCAAATTGGAAAACAGTACAAATGTCCATCTACAGGTGAATAGACAGCTGCTGTCTTCCATACCATAGACACTTCACAACAATATGAACAACTTGGAACACACAAAACAACCGGAAAGAAGCTTAAATGTGATGTGCTAAGTGAAAAATGCAAGACTCAAATAGCTGCCTGATGTACAGTTCCATTTATATGACCTTCCCAAAAAAGTGAATCAGAAAATGACTCAGTGTTTGCCAGTGCCTGGGAATTGGAGGAGAGAACTACTGCAGGGAGGTGTCAGAGAACATGAGGAGTCAGAGAACTGTCCTACGTGTTGATTTTAAAAGGTTACAGAACGGTTGGTGTTGGTCAAAACTCATAGCACTGTACAAATGTTACACCTCAGAAAACCAGACTTAAAATAAATGAAGTCAAAATTAAGATATTTCCAGATAAAGAAAAAACATTGAAATAAATGACTGGTAACACACTTGTGTTATATTCAGGAAGGGAAAATGACACCTCAGATCTACAAGGAGGAATCCAAAGAACTGGAAATAGTGAGGGTGCATTGATACATTTTGTTTTCTTAATTTCTAAGACACATGACTTTATTTTGGGGTTTATACTACATCCATGCATAATACATAGGACTACAGTAATGTGGGAGGATAATCTGTGCTAACATGTGGGCACAAAGTTTCTATATTCTACTGGTAGTAAGTTAATATAAACTTGAAGATTGTGATGTGTTCAAGTGAATATTTTAATCAGGTGATTGACAACTAAGAAGAAAAGAAGGCAAAGAAGTATAACTAAGATGTCACTGGAAAAATTAAAATTGCATACTAAGCAACATCTGTTTAACACAAACGAAGGTGAAAGAAGAATGGGACGAAAAAAGATGAGGCAAATAAAAATTGTTGGCAAATGGCCTAAATCTAATCACATCAATAATCATATTAAACATGAATGCACTAAATACTGTAATCAAAAGGCAGACATTGTCAGTCTGAGTGAAAAACTTAAGGTCTGCCTATAAAAGATGTACTTTAAATTCAAAGGTACAAATTGGTTGGAAATAAAAGGATAGAATAAAGTATGTCATATAAACAGAAGCATAGGAGGGCTTAAATGGCTGTTATCAGACAAACTAAACATTATTATAAAGAATATTTCCAGATACAAAGAGGGGCATTTTATCACTATAAAAGTTTCAATACAGTAGAAAGATACATAAACACTTGTGTACCTGATAATGAGCTATGAAATACATGAAGTAAATACTGACAGAATTAAGAGAAGAAATAGACAAATTACAGTTATAGTTGGGGATTTCACTATTCCTGTCAGTAATTGTTGGAACCTGTAGACAGAAAATCAGTGAGGATATTGACTGCTTGAGTAACATTATCAACCAATTTGACGTAAGTAACAACTATAAAATACTTCACTGAGCAACAGCAGAATATACATTCTTTCAAGCACACAGAGTGGTCACCAGGGTAGTCCATGAAAAAATATCTTAATTATTGTTGCAGGAAGTCATTGAGAAGATGTGACTTCTGGTTGACCCATGAGCTGGTTGACCCTGGGCAATTAGAAGCTCCTCACTACCTTCTCTGTCCTGGGAATGTATGTTTTGCCCATTGTTCCCACAGTGGGAGTTATTCCAAGGACATAGCCTTGAGAGGGTAAAGCATTGTTGAGGCCATGTGGATGGTATTTGTGGCTGAATCCCGTAAGGTTTCTGTATAAACTTTTAAGATTCTGATGGGTGGGTGTGGAGACCTACTTACCTTGTGGCCATCCAAGACAAGCCATGCAAGTCAGTTCCCTTTCTTATTAGACCTGCCACCTACCAATCTGGAGTGGCCTGCCTCTTTCTTTGGTCTCTCCTTGCCCTCCATGAGTACAGAGGCCAGTCTGAGAACCAACAATTATACAGAGTAATAGGTCTGTGGTTGCAATATAAGTTACAAATCAAGAAGAGAAAGAGAGAGTGAAATGGGAAAGCCCTGAGTACATGCAATAATAAAATAAATGGATATGTAAACATAACAGAACAAAATCTGTGGGGGACAACTGAAGTAGATCTTAGAAATGTAGTTTTAGAAGAGAGGACCCAAAATCAGTGCTAAAAGCTTTCATTTTCTTAAGAAGCTAGAAAAAGAAGATTGAATTAAATCCAATGAAAAAGGAAAAAAATCAGAATGGAAATTAATGAAATAGAAAGCAAGTGACAGAGAAAATCATTAATACCAAAATAGTTTCTAATGATTAATCAGATATAATAAATGAAAAGGCAAATTGATATTCAACAAAAACTTACATCAAAAATCCCACTTTTAGGACTTAATAATAATATACAGAACATGTGATAGAAAGAAAGGGCTCAAGACCTGAGCAGTACTTGGTCATTAAGGCAATGTCATTTAAACCACTAAGAGATAAGTAGCTAAAATTAAGGAGATCATCACCCTAAGTGTTGTTGATATGGAACAGCTGAAACTGTTTATATCATAAAGCTGGAGTTGGTAAAGTTTTTCTTAAAGGGCCAGCTAGTAACTATTTTCATCTTTGTGGACCCTATAAAGACTTATAGACATGAGTATGTCTCAGTTATTGAACCCTTTCATTATATGGTGAAAATACTTATTATATGTTAATCAATAGTTGTGTCCGTGTTCTAATAAGGCTTTATAAAAACAGGTAGACTGAGCCATGGGCCATAGTTTGCCCACACTTGAATAAAGTTCTGTTTATCAAAAGCAGTTGAGGGCTGTTGTGTTAATCATGTACATTATTAGAGACCAGGGTATTAGAATTTAATAAGATAAACTTCTCATCATAATTATGCTGAATATGATGAATACAGTTTATTTGATGGTTCATAAGGTACCCATTTTGCCTCCTCCTCACATGAAATTTCTCACTGAAAAATGCAGTGGCTGTAGATGCAAATATGTGAAGATTGATCTAAATCAGCACCAGATGCAGGGCAGTCTCTACAAACTTGTTATATTTAATAACTGTTTGAAATTTTATTATTTACAAGGCTTTGGTTTCTTTCTCATAAATATTTAGACTTTGGGTCAGAGTTGTCACACTCATAGTGAAAATATGACTTTAAAGAATCACTTACTTGCCTGAGGACTCAGTTTTGAGAATTAAAGAATTCAGCATTTCTTTAATAAAAGCATTTTTATTATAAAATTCTCAGAGATTTTTGTCATTGTTACATTCCCTATATTCCATTTATCTGATATTAATATTCCTTTCTCCCTTCCTCTCTAGAACCCAACCATAAATGTGAAAATAGAAGGACTTTAAATATGGGAATAATTTCCCAAGGCCTTTGGTGTTAAAAGTCATGAACTTGACTACTTATTCCTTATTGACTTGACTTTATATTCAATTCAAACAAACTTGATTATTTGCACTTGCAGAGTATAGCAAGTGAGAGCAAGTGAGGTCTGGGGATAGTATCATTAACAGAAGAAATACTGATAAAAAAAAAACCCATGGTATTTATTTAATGTGCATTAAATAGCCATGATTCATCAAGAAAATTTTAATTTATGTCCATTGTTCTTTTTTTAGAAGGGAAACCATGCTGCGCCCTTTAGGATAATTTCCACTAAAATAGGATGGTTATTTAAATCAATTCTTATGCTACATGAAGTTTTGATTATCTGGAGATAATTCACATATAAATAGCTGCTAATAATGCCAAATGATCAAGATATTAACATAGGATATGTGTCTCTTTTTCTTTTCTTCTCTGTAAACATTTTATTCATGCTCTTTGATTTCTTTGCATGACATATATATTCCTTTAGAGCCAATATTCTAGGAAGTATATTATAAAGACCTAAAGTCTTTAGATCTTCTGTAGAGAACTTCCTTAGATAGTGTATGGATTTTGAAAAGAAAGGGTTCATAAAGAACATTAATCATACTCCTGATTATAAAATTCCAGCCAGAGCAGGGGTTTTGTTTAGGAAACAGAAAGGGAATTAAAGATGCTAATTGGAGGAATCAGCCTGTATGTGAGTAGACACCATCCTCTAAGGTAATGAATGGGGGACAAATTGCAGTTAATCTTAGGTACTCTGTGCTATAAACTGCAGGCTGGGCTGACAGTTTGTTGAGGAAAGCAGTAAACTATACTTGACCTGCTGCAGAACAGCAACTTCAGTGGTGCTCTGGGAGGCTCAGAGCCTGGCCTTGGTCCAGACACCTCCATTGTGTACTAGGAGTTGGCACCCAGCAGTGAAGGAAAAAGAGGCAAAGAAGCTCCTGGTTTCAACTGACTGCACTTCTGCTGGGAGCAAGATCCCTGAAATGCATAGGAGGCCAGCAGGAGAGAGAAACATCCAGGATGTGAAACCTGCTGGGGGAATTTTTAGGTCCAATTCTGCAATAGGCTATGTGCTGGCAAAGTGGGAAGGGAGACTGGGCCAATCCCTCTCTAGTCTTTGAGAACAGGTAACACCTACCTGCATGTATATAGATGATTTCAACATCATGAGGTTGAACACTGAGGCAGATACATGCATATTGATTTAGTTATCAACTATGGTCTAGTTCCTTCGCAGGTGGTTAAAAACATAGATTTTACATTGGAACCAAGCTCTGCCACTGTACCTGGGTGACTCAGACAAGTGCATTCATATCTGTGATTCTAGTACATTCATTTATAAAATGTGGTTCATAGTAATTACTCATAGGGTTGTTCTGTGAGATTAAAAGAGAGAATTTTTTTATCGTGTTCAAGCACTTAGTCCAGTGTGTGACACAGCATAAACAGTGAAACATGGTGGGAGATGTATGTTAATATGTGGGGCTAATTCTGAATTCTCTATTCTCTAATATGGCTTTACTTGTCTTTATACCAATACCATACTGCTTTGGTTACTATCATTTTACAATACTTCTTGAAATTGGGTTGGTCCTTTAACTTTATTCTTATTCCCAGTTGTTTTCACTATTTCGGGTTCTTTCCATTCCCAAATGAATTTAAGATCAGTTTATCAATTCCTGCAAAAGAGCATTCTGGAATTTTGATTGTGATTGCACTGACTATAGATCAGTTTGGGGAAAACTTACATTTTAACAACATGGAACAAACAAGAATTATCTCTCCATTTATTTATGTCTTTTATTTCAGTCAGCTATATTTTATCATTTTCAGTATAGGTCATTCATATCTTTTGTCATGCTTATCCCTAAGTATTTGTTGTTGTTCATTGCTAGTATACAGAAATGCAACTGGCTTTTGTATATTATTCTTTTATGCTGAAGCCTTACTGAATTCACTTAATAACCCTCACAGCTTTTTTGTATGTTACAGAGGGTTTTCTACAT